TTAAAAAAAATAATAATAAAATAAATAAAATAAAATCATGTTTGCATATTTTGCCAGTGAGTGTCACAGCAACTTCCAGGCTTTTCTTCTCATAACCTAGAAGCGCAGGACAAACATATCCATGGGGTAATGTGTATTTCTCCTCTCTTTAATTAGCATGCTGGGAACGTACTCTGATGAATTTGGGAACTTAGATTTTGAGCGATCCCAGCATGGCTCTGGGATGAGCAACAGGTCATCAGCCAAAAGATTTATTTCTGCTCTCAACAATATTGCTGAAAGAACTTACAATAATTTATTTCAATTTCGTCAACTTCGGCAGATTGCAAAAGAAGTAAACATTCAGGTATGGTAGCTTAAATACTTAATATATCTTGTTTTGGTAGCAACTTCAAGAATCTTTATAAATGTGGCCAGGCATGGTGGTGCACATCTGTAATCCTAACACTCAGGAGGCTTAAGCAAGGGGATTGCTAGAAGTTCTAGTTCAGCCTGAGCTGCAGAGTTCAAGGCTAACTTGAATTGCATAGTGAAACCCTGAGGGTGGTAATCTTTATAAATGTGTACTGGAACAAAAGCTGGATTCCTGCCTAATTCCTCTCAAAGACTTCAGTATCTCCACAGCTAGAAGGAAGTACTGTGGCAAGACTCAGCCTCCATGTTTTCCTGACAGTCCTGGAGATGACTCATGCTAGCATCAATAAGCCTTGGTTTCTTTGTCTATTTAATAGACATGATTACAGCTGTTCTTCCTACTTCAGGGTTCTAGCAAAAATTGATCCAATAGTACCCTAAACCTGTAAAACAGTATGTATATGGAAAACTCAATCAGTTTCCAAAGCTAGTGTCATTTTTGTTTTTGGTTTTTAAAATTTTTTTTTGAATTTATTTACTTATTTATTCATTTGGTACAGGATCTCACTATGCAGCTCAGACTTGTAGTGATCCTCCTGTCTCAGCCTCCGCAGCTCTGGGATTACAGATGTGCACCACCACTACTGGTTTCAGTGGCTGGCTCAGCAACGGGGTGGGCACGGCATGCGGTATGAGGGATCGAACCTGGGTCTTGCACTTGCCAGGCAAGCAATTAAACCACCAAGCTATCTCTCTGGTTCCCGTTTTTTGTTTTTAAATTGAGCTGAAACAAATATGAAATTCTCTGGATGCTGACATTTTTATTTGGGCATTATAAAGTCCACAGCTCAAATTCTGGCAGTTTGCTCTGTAAGAAGTACAAATACACTTGCCTAAAACAGTTGGCAGTTGTGTATTTCTGTTTGAGTAGCATTAGGTCTTATTTTGGCATCTCGGTTACTGAGCTAACTCTTTTGATATTTTCTCGTAGGTTGTTGATTTTGAAAACTTCATTGGTTCACTAAATGACCAGGGATACCTCTTAAAAAAAGGCCCGAATGTTTACCAGCTTCAAACTATGTAAAAGGACTTTATCACATGGGACCTTCTGGATTTATTGCCATCTCAAAAGTGAACACTGTGCCAAAAAAAAGTTCCTTGAAAATGTTGTTTCAAAAGTACTGAAATAGGAAGAAGTATTGGATTTGGTCAACCAATTTAAAAATTAAAGAATCTTATATTGTTCATGTTTTATAACTTCTCCCAAAAGCTGAAAGTAATGTAATTATTTTATCTAAATGATATAAATTATGTATAGTTATATTTTTGATTCTTGTTTATATATTTTATAGTTCTGCATATCAAATGTTCACCAGTAATAACTTACAAAAAAAAAAGGTAATAACATGTAAACTAGTATTTCTATGTTCCAGTAAAAGTTTTCAACACGAAAATTTAAATTTCCTGAAATTTTCATCAAAGAGTATACAATATTTGTATTGTTTTAACCAAATAAGCATTATAGGCAGTGTGTCTAATTTGGCCCCAGTCTACCGTTTGCAAACAACAGCAGCTGACTTAGTGGGAAGAGTTCTGGAGGAGCTGTGGTTAGCTGGCAGGAATGTAAGAAAGTGGTGGGGGACACGATTCCAGGAGCGGCTGTACTAGGCGCTAGGGGCGCTTCTAGGGGGTGCAGTGGCAGCTGGAACGCCCTCCTGCCACACAGGCCCCAGAGGAAAGTGCTCCTGTTGGCACCACCGTGGCTGCCACTTCTGTTCCAGGAACCACTGCCACCTCAGAGAGCCCTGCATATTCCCCGCCCACGCAGAGGTACCAGCAGGACTGCGTGGGCCTCTTGAAGGGCCCAGTTCAAGTGAGAAGTCTGGTCCAGAAACTTCTGAAAGAGGCTGTGCCCCTTTTGCTGGGATGTGAGTTTTTCCAGTTTTTTTTCAAGAAGGCAGAACCTATCAAGACAGGAGGGCCCATGTTTTGGGAAAGGATTCAAATGAACTGGGCTCCCAGCCAGTCACATATGGATGGAGCCAGCGCTATCATGTAAGAGCTCAGTCAGTAGGAGCCATTTTTAGAAAATGTATAATGGGAAACTGGTAATCGAGTGTACTGAATAGTTAATCAAAATACAATATTGGCCTTTTATTGAATATGTAATAGCCAAAACTCAGTGCAGTATTTACTACTACAGAACAGAATGTATATATTAAAACCTAATTTTATTTTATTTTTGGTACTAGGGATTGAACTCAGGACCTTGTGCCAGGCAGGCACTTAAGTCACTAAGCTATCTCTCTGGCCCTAAAACCTAATTTTAAAAGTAGATGATAATATAAATATTATATCTTTATTTTTTAAATGCTAGGGGTTAAAAGTATTTAAAGCTAAAAAAAAATAAGTAAAGCTGATGAATGTATTAAAGTTGGCATATTTTGCAGATCACTATTTAGATAATATCAGCCAAGTGGCAGTTGTAGACGTGAAAGAGGCAAAGAGTAAATATGGATCATGTAGACCTTTATCTAAAAGTTCGGCTGGCCTGATAGCTCAGCAGACTAAAGTACCTGCTTAGGCAGAGCTCTGCGGCCAGGGTTCGATCCCCGGATTCCAAAGTGCCAGCCCCACCCACTGGGTGCTCTGAGATAGTGACTGAGACTGGGCGTGGTGGTGCAAGCCTGTAATCCCAGCGCTTGGGAGGCTGAAGACAGAATCACTATGAGTCCCATCTACGTAGTGAGACCCTGTAGACCCTGCCCTAAATACAGAAAAAATAAATAAAAGTTCGAAGATTAAGTCTACTATATAATGTTTTTGGGGGAAAGCCTAATTAGAAGGAATTGTTGTATGTCTTCTTAGATCATGCATTTGTCTGCTTTGCTGATCATAGGACCAACAGCCACCTTTGTTTACTTCAGAATACAGCTTTTCTGAGCATGCAAAGACCATGACAGCACCACTACCGCCACCCCACAGGCCCCAACATTTAGGTTTCACTTCCTGCTGAAGGAAAGGTCTCCTCACCTGCCAGCCTCCTGCCACTCTGGGGATAAAGGCTCTGGCCTATGCTCCCTCTCATTCCGTCTGCCTCTGCCCCCTTGCCAGGATTATCCAAAATCAGTGTCTGCCTGAGAATTAGAGATGGCTGATTTCAGTGACTGATTTCAATGATTTCAATGACCAGTTTACATTGTTAGTAAATTTTGTTTTTAGTTTTTCTTTCAATATGAGTATTTCCGTATGTGCATAAGAAACTCAAGACAGTCCCTGGGCCGGGGAGATAGCGGACTAAGCCCCTGCTTAGGTAAGCGCAGGGACCAGGCTGGGTCACTGGTACCGCATGCTGCGCCGACCCTGGAACCCAGGAAGCACACTGTGGGCCACCAGAGTCAGGCATGATGGCACACGTCTGTAACCCCAGCGATGGGAGGCTGAGACAGGATCACTGTGACTCTGAGCTGCATAGCGAGACCCTGTACCAAATAAATGATTCTAGAAATATTTTCCAGTTTGATACAAGAGTTGTAACGTTAATCAATATAATGTAGTAATACTGAATGTATAGTAACGATGATGGATTTGTGTCTATTGAGAATAAGCACGTTTCTTACTCTCTAAACTTATTTCCTTACCCAATCCTAAAGGTAACAGGAGCCTAAAATTGTGGGCAGATTGCCTAGGATGATGCTGTAGGATGCGCTATGCCTGCAGAGTAGGCACTCATCAGACAGACAATTCGTGTCCCTACTGACATTTTCCATGATTTTTAACATGTACAGTTTCACTTCTGTGCCAAATATTTGGCTGACTTTTTAAACCTGGCCCAGAGCCCGAAGCACACCTGGTGAAAGGCGGGGTGCTGGCAACTGGCCAGGCCTGGCGATCCCTGGCCCTTGAGGTCCTCCGGATCGCGCTCGCGGCCGCAGGCCCTCGGAGCAGAGCCTCGCGCGGCCGCCCGGGGGCGCCGGGAGCCGCAGCCGGCGTCGCAAAAGCGTCGCGAAGGCGACCTTCCTTGGCGGCCCGGCCACCTGTAAAGGCGGAGCGTGCCGGGCCGTCCGGGCGGCATGGAGGCAGCGGCGGCC